AGTTCCCATTATGGAAATCAACATTTAAACCTTGATTTTTTTTTTTATTTCGGTCCTGCCCCGAAGCAACTGTGAAGAGTATGAGTAGTCATTAAATGTGTACAATATTGCTATTACATAAGTGTTCATCTTACTATTTTGTCATAATTTTCTTTGCAAAAATTGCAGAGCCATCTCATTTTATCTACTCTCACAAAAATCTACAGAAAATAGATAAAGATCCTCCATATTCTAGGAAGTAAATGGAACACAAGTTCACAGTGAGGACAGGATTCTCTTTCTCTCTGTGTGCCTCTGCTCACAGCTCTTCGCTTTTGTCCACACCCAGCTGAATTGGCCGCAAAACCTCTATTATATCCAATATTTCCCCTATGATCCATTAGGCTCCACTGGGTCACAATGCTGACTCTTACATCCTGGAATCCTCAAATGGTCACTGTGACCCCAAACCAGCCATTCTCATACCTTGGGTCTGGAAAGAGGTCTCTGATTGAGACCTCTTTTATTATCTCTAGGACTCCTAGTAGAAGGAGGGGGAGAAGACTCACAGCATGTGATTATGTATAGTAAATTCCATGCCTTGGATGTAGTAGTTAGGGATAATTGCACTTTGAGAAGTCCTCAGGGATCACTTGATAGTTATTCTTTCACTTTCTCCTTCCTTTCCCCCATCTCTTTCTGTTTCCCTTTCTTTTCCTCTCCCATCCTCCCTTCCTCCTTCCTCTCCCACCCCTTCCTCCTTCCCTCCCTTCCTGCATTCCTCTCTGTCTCTCTCTCTCTCTCTCTCTCTCTCTCTCTCTCTCTCTCTCTCTCTCTCTCTCTGTCCCCCCTGGGAATGCAGTAGATTTATACCTGGATATGAATTCTAGCTCTGCCTTTTGCTAGTCATTTGACAGTGAACCTCTCTAATCTTTAATTTCCTTACCTACTGCATAGGGTCAAGGTAGCTACCTCAGGAATAAGGCAAAAGTACCCATTCTCACCATTTTTACTCAATAGTTCTTAAAATTAACTAGACAAGAGAAAAAAATAAAAGGAATACAAATAGGAAGGGAAGAAGTCAAATTATCATTGTTTGCAGACTGTATGTGCTTATATTTAGAAGAAACTAAGGAGTCCACCAAAAGACTTTCAGAGCTGATAAAAGGATTCATTGAAGTAGTAGGATATAAACTCAACATTGTGAAAAAAAAAATCAATAGTTTTTCTATATACCAATAATGGACTAGCTGAGAAAGAAATCAGGAAAACAATTTCATTCACAATAGTTTAAATAAAATAAAATACCTAGGAATCAATCTAACCAAAGAGATGAAAGACCTCTACAGTTGAAATTTCAGGGGCAGGGATTTAGCTCAGTGTCCCCATGCCTGCCTGGCAAGTAAGTGCAGGGTCCTGAGTTTAATCCCCAGTATCAAAAATAAATAAATAAATAGATAATAAATAAATAAAATTTCAGAGCCCTGAAGAAAGAAATTGAAGAAGACACCAGAAGATGCAAAGACTTCCTATATTCATGAATTGGCAGGATTAATTTTATCAAAATGGTCATACTAGCCATACCAAAAGTGACCTACAGATTCAAGTCAGTCCCCATTAAGTACCAATACATTCTTTACAGAACTAGAAGAAAATAATCTTAAAATTTGTAGGAAATAACAAGACCTAGAATACCTAAAGAGATCCTAAGCAAAAAGAGCAAGGCTGGGAATATCACAATGCCCAATTTCAAATTATACCACAAAACAGCATGGTACTAGCATAAAAATCAACATGTAAACAGAATAGAGGACACAGAAACAAACTCAAGTAACTGCAGGCATGTGATTCTAGAAAAAGGAACCAAAAATGCAGGCTAGAGAAAAGACAACTTCTTTACCAAATGGTGCTAGGAAAACTGAGTATCCACTTTTTAGAAGATTGAAACTAGATCCCAATCTCTCACTCTGTACCAAAATCAGTTCAAAACAGATCAAAGACCTAGGTATAAGGCCCAAGACTTTGAAACTTCTAAAAGTAAACATGGGGGAAACACTTGAAGCCATTAGGCACAGGCAAAGAATTCCTGAATAGGACTCCAATAGGACAGGAAATATTAGCAAGTATTAACAAAGGAGACTATAACAAATTTAAAAGTTTCTGTACAGCAAGAGAAACAAGTAACAGAGTGAAAAGACAACACACAGAATGGGAGAAAATCTTTATCAGCTACTCTTTCAACTAAGGATTAACATCACACTATATAAAAAACAGAAATTTAACAACAAAAAATCCAATAGCCCAATCAATACACAGGCAAATGGACTAAACAGACATCTCTCAACAGAAGTACAAATGACCAATAAATATATTTTTTTAAATTAACACCTTTAGCCATTAGGGAAAAGTAAGTCAAAACTATTTTGATATTCCATCTCACCCCAATCAGAATGGCATTCAAAAGATACAAAAAACAATAAGTGCTAGCTAGCGAGGCCAGGTGGCGGGGGACCCTTCTTTGTGGAGTGCAAGTTAAACAACCATTATGGAAATCAACATGGAAGTTCCTCAAAAACTAAAAATAGAGCTGCTATCTGATCCAAGTATATCACTCCTTGGTATATACCCAAAGCAATTTAAGTCAGCATACTGTAGGAATACTTGTATGCCCATGTTTATTGCACCCTATTTCATAATAGCCAAGATATGGAACCAGCCTAGGTGCCCATCAACAGATGAATGAACAAAGAACACGTGGTGTTTATTTGCACTGGGGAAGAAGTCAGCCACAAGGAAGAACAAAGTGCTGTCATTTAAAGGACAAGGGATGCATCTAGAAAGCACCACGTTGAGCAAAATAAGCCAGACTAAAAAAAAAAAAAAAAAAAAACCCGGTGTTTTCCTAAATCTGAAA